ACATATATTGACAGAGAAAGAACAAAAAACTAAAATAAAATAAATAAAAAAGATGAAGTGAGCTGGTAGAACRTATGAAGAGCAGTGATTACAAAGTGAGAGCAGCTGAGCTGATTAGCAAATGAGGAACAGGTGTGTAATGATGAGCTGAAAACAGAAATGACCAGAGGGATGAAGCTTTGTAACACTAAACAAATAAAAAAATATCTCAGGCAATAAAGATTATTAATAATAAATTAACTCATACTATAAAACACAAAACCATAGAAGCATGACAAAAACTCTCTCATGTCTGAAATGTTGCTAGAGGAGTTTTACCTTTATCGTTTTCAAATGAATAAAGAAAATTCAGATTTTTTTTAACCCAAAGTTAAAAGTTGTTTTGAAGATTAATATTATTTTTAATTAATTTATTTTTTGGAAAAATGGGCAGATATTACAATTTTTTCTTTCTGCTGCTTTTCATTTTATTTTATTGGCAATTTGTATGTTATTGTGTATAGAATTTATGTTGTTTTTAAAAAGAAATGAATAAACTTTACTTTAAAGTCAACTTTCAGAGCCCTCAGAGTGCCCCGCCCCCTCCCTTTCTCAGTGACAGGTTTTCAGAAAGAAGTAAGACTCTCAAAACAAAGACTTTATACAAATGTGTCAGGATCATATTTAGGTGAAACTAACTATTCAGGAGTAAAACTCAGTAATTAAATGAGTTTCCATTCGTTTCTTTGAGTGATGCTCCCTCCTCGGGTAGAAACAGCGTTTGTTTTATTTAACCTATTCATCAATAAAACCTTTGAAACAGGCCGTGGATTCTCTGCAGGAAAAAAATAGTTGAATTTTGATTATTTAGATTTAATGTTAAGTTGAGGCAAAAAAACAACAACACTGTTCTTATAAAAATACTTTTATATGTACAAATCAGGTCATTTACAGCAATAATGATATATTTTTCCTGTTTCTGTGAGTTGAAAAAAAAAGGTCTATGTTTCCAGTGTTTGAGATTAAAAGCACTATAATTTTCCATGATGACAGAGTCCTGCAGAGTCTGGAAACATTGGATGGGAAAGTTTTGGCTCTGCTCTCACATCATGACATCATTTATCAGCTGACTGACTCACCTCACCTGACACCATGTCACTGCTGAGTTTTAATTCTTCTTCTATGACAAATCCCAGCATACAATTAATTCATAAAGGTTTTAATGAAGAACTATTATCATGAAGGTCAGCTATATGTCACCAGAGGTGATCATTTTACATTTAAAACTACTGTGTGACACAGTTTGCAAGTGGAAAACCTATTTAAAGTTCAGAAACCTTATACCTCGGAGGAGGCTGCCGAACGGTGTGTGTGTTCTGAGGCGCCGCTCTATATTTAACAAATCATGGGGTTTGCTGCGCGGCGTGCTCATGCACGAGAACACCCACCAGAAAACAGACAGCATGGTTCTGCTCAGAACTGCTCGACCTTATGTGGACCCGGGTCACAGCTGAAGCAGGACAGGTAGGAAACTGTGTGGGTGTGCACAAAAGAAAAAAAAACTAACAGACCAAAAATAAAAAAGCTTTGATGTTTTATCTCAAACCATATAATAAAAATCATTAGTGATTTAGATTCGATATTTGTAAATATTAAAAACTATGTTGAGAAACTTTCTTTTCACTGCAGATTGCATTACGTTGTAAAAAACTAAGCAGTTAAACATTAATATGTTTGTGTTTTGCTGGTGAGCAGCTGTATTCATTTGCTGATGTTTTTGGCTTATAGCAACGTCRGGTTTGGTATTCAAATCAATAAATACAATTATTTAGTCACCTTCAACTCTTAAATGATGTTAAAAAAAAACCTAAGTAAATATATAAACAATATAATGTTTTAAAAACGAAGCCAAACTGGGGAATCATTGCGTAATTCAGCAGCAGAACCATCTTTAGCACCATGACTCAAAGAAATCCTCTCCTGTTTGACCTTCTCTGTCACTTACATCACTGTGGGAACATTTTGGACCAATCGTTTTACAGTATTGTTGCAATGTCCAAAAGTAGAGGGCATACACATTGTGTTTATTTCAATTTTAATTGAATCATTGCATCATCTGATTTTTTTTTTTCAGATATTCTTTAGAATTGCAGACGTGTTTGGATTGTTTGCTGTTGATCAAAACCAAACTGGGCCAATCTTCTGCTGTGGTCTCATATTTGACTTTTGGATACTTTGGTGAACAAAGAAGTTTATGGTTAACTGCAAGGTGTTTTTTCAAGTGTGTGTTTTGTAAGTATTTCTGCTACATCATAGTTTTTGTTCTTTGAATGAATCTTTTAGTTTTTATGTACGCTCCTTGTTTTGTTGGATCCAACACAAACCGTTACACAAAGTGGGTGTAAGTTCTTTACACTGTGAGTCTACAGGATTTAATTGTTTTGTGTTTGTTTGTTTGTTTGTTTGTTTTTTTCAGGTTGAACTGAGCCCAAATCAAAATGGATGACTTCGAGTACAGCGTGGAGATCAGTGATCGGGACTGGAAGTCCTTCTTTGCGGAGTGCGAAGAGTGTAGTCTACTTCCTCCTTCATTAGCAGGTATAGACGATTCAGGGATGAGTGACATGGAGGAGCACTTTCTTGCTCAGAGGATGCAGAAAGTTAACTCAACGCCAAATTTCTCAAAAAATGACCTCCTTAGCGACAACCCCCTGAACTGTGTGGGGTCTCCTGTGCAGCACAGCTTTGGTAAACAGGGACTTGGAGTTGACAGCATTCTTTCGGGCAGCGAGGAGGACATACACATGCAGACTATCAATGTGTTTTTTGAAAAGCTGAAAGGTCTCACCGAGGTTCGGCCAAGCCAACAGAGAGTTGGAAACAATAAAGGGTGGAAACAAGAGGAGGAGGCTGACGGGCGAAAAGCCAGTGGGACTTGTCCCAAGTTTAAAGCACAGCATGACGGGGCTGAGGTGGGATTTGGGAAAGAGACCGTCGAGCCTGTCGACACAATCAGAAACTTAAACACAAAGAAAATCGTTGAAGCCGAGTCCGACCTTTCCTCGCAGTCTGCAACCTGCAGTAATTCTGCATCCAAATCAGCTGAAACTGAGTTATTTATTGGAGAGGAAACGTTAACCCCAAATAATGAGAAAACACAGCGGAGTCAGCTTCAAGACTCACATGAAAGGGCTGTTTGCTCTGAAACGACCCCTCCATCCTACAAAGTGGAAATGTGCAGGAGTATGGATGACATTAACCATGAAGGCTGGCTGAAGCATCAGGAAATTCTCAGTAAGAAGTACGGTTTGAGGAAGGACCACGTCCCTCAGGAGCTGTCGCCATCTGTCTCCACGAAGAGGAAGAGGAGAAAGAAAAGACGACTCAGCATGGAGGTGGATGAAGATGAAACACGCGAGAGGCATGCTTCAGCCAAGCAGAGTGACTCGAAGGAGGAGCTGCGTACGTTCAAAGAAGGAGGAACGCATCTGTGTTTTTCTCAGGAGGCATTCGATTATTTTAAAGAACCACCAACAAATCTGACGTGCTTTTACGCGTCCAATCCAGTCATCAATAGTTTTACAGGAAATTTATTCGCTCAGGACACCAAAAATGAGTTTCCTCAATCTGTTTCCCCAAGTGAGAGTCGAAGCCAACATTTGCATCCGAGTAGATCCACAGAAACAAGCGCTGCTGAAAATCATTCAACTAACCTCAGATCAGAACCACAGCTAAGTCAAAATGATGATGATGTTACGTCTGCAGCAATCAGCCGTCCAAATGAGGCAACAAACGTACAAACATGCAACAAATTACYGGGAAGGAATCCAGTTTTTTGGCCACCAGTTTCTGAAGGAGGAAGAGAAAAATCTGAAAGTTCGAATCAGGATGTGAAAACAAGAGAGCTTGATAGAATGAAYACGTCTGTCAGTAACTGTGAAGAAAAACTAAATTTGAAGCGTTCAACACCAGAGGTCAAATCAGTCAGTCTGCTACCACGTGGAGAGTCATGTGCTCCTGGTGTGGAAGTCCGCCAAAATGAGAAGCCATCTACTGCTAAGTCAGTCTTGGCTGAAGAGGCTGGAAATCCGGGCCAAGAAGAGCCCACGCTGTGTCAAAGTGAGGCTGAGCCCCAACAACAGCTGGAAAACCACTGTCACAACACAAATCAAGGCCTCACTATACTGAACAACTCTCACCTTTCTGTGTTTTYAACTCAACCAGGGGCATGTTTGCTCCCAGATGAGAGTTCTGACAAAGATGCCTGCACTAATTTAAAGATGAACTGGAAGAATCAGCCATCTATTTGCTGCTTGTCTGAAAATCTGCCAGACRAAACAAAACAGGAAATGGGCTGTCCTATGGAGGCTCAAACTTCTGATATTTTATCAAAGAGTCACACAGAAATGGAAAAAACTCAGCTAGAACCGTCACAAAAATTGAATTTAACAAGTCAGAGTCCAGAAACTCAAGTTTCCTTGTCTGATGAAGTAAAAGTAAGTTCTTTAGAGGGCACGTATGTGCCGTCAGGCTGCACTCCGGATGCAAAATCTGTCATTTTAAACTCTAATGAAGACTTCACAGACATGTCACCAAGTTTGTGTTTATCTGCCACAGAGCATGAATCGGTTCAAGCAGACCAAAAGGAACATGACTCRGTAAACGTTGATGACAAAGAAGAAGCTGCACCTGGAGCTACAAACCAAAAAGAACTGAAGAGTGATTTCTTAAGTAAAGCAGAGGAAACTGCATCTGAAGGTCTAGACAAACCTGAAAAGACGGAGAACTCTGTGTTTGCCATGTCCTCTTTTTGGAATGAAATGGAGAAACTGACAATAAACGATATTTTGGGTTTAAAAAAGCTCAGTAAAGCAGCTCGGCCAGGACCGCTCCCAGCTCTGCAGGAAAGTGAGGAGACCGATGTGTTTCCTGTGGCTGATTCAGGCCTTTTTACCCCAATGGAAGAATCCAAACCTGAACAAACCCCTGAAGTAATTATTACTGATTCTTCTGCTTTAAAATCTGTGAGCTGGGAGAATGAACCTGTCCCAGTGAGCCCAGGTGCTGATATTAACCTGGAGAGTCCTGAGTCCGTTTCTGACGCATCTCAACCCTTTCTGACTGAAATGGGTCCAAAGTGCCTCAGAAAAATTGCCAAAACTATCAGTGTGCACAACTTACAAGCTCTGGATTCTAAGTCTTTGAGCTACAGGTGCAGTGCGGGAATGATACAAATTTTGGAGGATAAAAAATCAGAACGTTTGGAGTATTTGACTGAGAAGGCTACACCAGTGGAAGACGAAGAAAGTCATTTTTTACCTTCATCCTCCACAGATAGCTACAGCTTCTCTTTCTCTGATATTTTTCAGTACCTCTTTGGGGGAAAGCAGGAGGAAGTTTCTAGCCAATCAGTCACAGATGATCCAACCTCCTGCTACACCAGCGGAAACTCTGTCCCTGAAACATACGACCACTTCTTCTCAGAGTTTGACGGTGAAAGCTTCTTTTATCCACTCACAACAGCAGAAGAGGAAAACAAAGACAAGGCCGTTCCCATATACTCGTATTCTCGCTCGACTACAAAAAATATACAGTTCCCAGAGGCCTACGAGCATTTCTTTGCATCTTCCTCCTCTGACGACTCTTCAGTGGAATCTGATGAAGAAGATATCGTCAGCCCTGTGAAGGTGGTGAGCAGGTTCACTCGTACGGCGAGCTCCACACAGCTGTCCAAAGACATGTACGAGGATTTCTTCTCAGACAAAGACCTCAGAGAGAACCTTTTCTCCTTAAAGTCACTCTCCTTCAGGAAAATTAATTTCTCAGCCCCYGCAGACCAAACTCGGAACCCAAACTCCCTCGTACCCATGAGGCAGACTCACCAGTACACGCTGAAGATCGGTGCTCCGCTCAACGTGACGGGAGACCAGGAGGTGTTTCCCAATCCTCTGCTCTACAACTTGGAGGACAGGATGTCCAGACAGCTGGCACTGGAGCCTTTCACACACGAGGAGTTGCAGGCGACTGTTTCAGATCCACGTGAGTCATGAAAGAGACGCAGACGATAAAAGTGGAAATGGATTAACATCATTAACAAATTAACAGTTACAGTCAAGAGACAAGTTTCAAATAAGTTTGCACATGTCCTTTAATCCTAACGGGGCTGTGAATGTGTCTGAAACAATACAGTATCTACAGAACCAGAATCAACTTGACAGCTGCTTCACAAATAAATGATTAAATGCAATAAAGATTAAAGAAACAGGGCTGACTTCAACAGTCAAAGCTACAGTTTTAACCAAAGATCTTGCACTATAACACTGAGAGTATGTGTTTTGAATAACTCTCAGCACAACATCTGTAAAACAGAGTCTGCTGTGGCAGCTATTTTGAACAGGACTGGCTACAAAAGTTCAATCCTACGTTTCACCAAAGTGCACGAGATATTTTGCTAACAGAGACAGGGTTGACTGAGTTAAAACTAAAAACTTAAGGTTTGGACCCAACATTGAGCTAAGCTGATTGATAGATTTATGCAAACATTTGAGAAACACAAAAATTATTTATGGCTTCTGAATGGGGCTTTAAAATAAAGGAGGTAGATACATATTGTATTCATAATTCAACTTCTAGTTTAYAATCATTATTATTTTTATTATTATTAAAAAGGAAAAGAAACAATTTAACAGGTTAAAATCAACAAGCAAAATCAAGTCTTCTGAATCAGTTTGTCCTGACGAATCCAGAGTCTGTCAGGTAAAGAAACATTATATAACGTTGTTTTCTTCAGTTTGCCTTGTTTTGTTTCCCCTCACACATGGACAGCTGTAACGCAGAAGTGTCACCTGCTCTGCTAACAGTCATCACGACCTGGACGGATTCTCTTCCCTCAGCTGTCAGATGACACTGTGAGAATGTGGAGTTACAGCCAACACGAATGGTGCTACGTGATAACTTGAATTCGCTCAATGAGCGAGCCGTTCCTCTGAGCTGCCTTCAGAACACCATAGCTCATGTCCACAAGAGAAAAAGCATCAAAATATCTAATTAAAGAGTATTTATGTACTTTTTAAAAATTCCATAGTGTTTTAAATAAAAGGTTTGTAACATACAATATATCACCTGATYTGCAGCGGAGTCAAACAGAGATCTTTAAATAGTCTTGTTTGCATGCAAAAATGTTATGCGTTGGTTGGAATTAACAGGATCACAATGTGACAAAGGTGAAACTTCTAATAGGGTGTTCTTAATCCTCTGTGTTGCWTTAAACAATACAAAGTTTCAATCCTTTCTTCACTTTTTCAGGGTTAGATGTCCCATTCCTGCCGCTGCAACAGTCAGACATGTGTCTGGTTTGTATTGCGTTTGCTTCATGGGTGCTGAAAACTGCAAACCCACAAGTGGGAGACGCCTGGAAGGCTGGTACGTTGGTTAACTCTGCGTCAAACTGGGTTTGTTTTGTTGCTGTAGAAAAATGTGCAAACATTGTTTTTAATACACTGCAATCACCTAGCAAAAATTTTGCTTTCATCTATGCAATACTTAAGTTTGACAGTAAAACTCTAAAACAAGAATAAATAAACAGTATTTTTTAAAACATCAAGTTCTTTGATTTTTTTAATTTTATACTCAGGCTGTAGGTGTCCTCTCAAATGCACTGACTGTGACTCTAAATACTGACAAGAAAATAAGATTTAGAAAAGCTCGGCTTTAAATGTTACAAGTAAAATGTAGTTTSAACATTTTTATAAGCAAGTGAGATGATTTGTTTCATTTGTTTTTATTTCCACACAGTTCTGCTGGCGAATGTAAGTGCTCTGTCAGCCATCCGATACCTGCGTAAATACGTCAAGGCCGAATCAGCAGCCAGTGAGAAGAAATCACATCTGAAGGCTCTGACAGATTTTTGATCGTTCTGCCACTAAATGTCATTATTGATTTTTTTTTCTATGAGCCACTGTAAACCTCTGCAGGAACTCAGTCCTCAGAAGAAACCTCTCCTGTATGTGTTGGGTCATGTTTGCACTAGAATTGCTTTTCTTAGGTATCTCTTCACAGAAAATGTGTCTCRTTAACATTTTGGTTGACTTTAAATCTCTTTAATTTGAAAGCRTTTGTATAAAGTACCGGACGACCAAAGGCAGGCTTTGTAAATATTGTTCAGTWTGTTTTGAAGGGGAGAAAAGAGGCAGGTTAACTCTGAGCTGTGTAGATAATAATAGATGGATGTGTGATAAAATAGATTAACTTGAGATACTTTAAGAAGCATTAATGTGCCTTTGTTCCTGTTTGTTTTTATTTCATTACTTTTATGCTGCATAAGCTTTTATTTTGAAGTTTGTAAAATATTCTCCCCACTAATTTGTTACATTAAACATAGCAATATAATAATTTCATTAAACCAAAAGAACAATTTACTTTAAAAACTGATCTGTGACAGTATATATA